CATTTCCTCTTCAGTCTTCCCCAAAACACCTCATTATGCTGGACTTTCAGTTATGGTGATAAAATACCACCTCACTTTTCTTTTGGAGCAAACTTTTTTTTCCCCTGGAGCCATAGATTTCCGTTTGGCTTACGTATCTGGACAAAGCAATGATTATTTTCTTTGTACAAAATATTTTTCTTGCTGAGCTCCACTCTCAGGTTTCTGGCCAGTGGATGGAGTAATGAGAGCAGTATTATTTTCTGTTTAGCTCTGGGGTATTTGGTAGGTTGATACCAAGTAAATAAAAATCTTTTCACACCCAGTAACAATGGCACAGGATCATCTTTTGAGCTGATCAAAAAGAAATTCTGCCACCTTTCCCAGGATATTCCCAGTAGTCTCAGGCTCTTTGCGATACTTTTTTCTCTTTAGCTCATTGTTAACTGACAGCATCTTGGTTTTTTGCTCAGTAATACTGATGCAATAATGTAAATTCCAAATGCTGTTTCTCTTCTGCTCCTGTTTTCTTTTCCAGTCTCGTTTTCAGAATTGAACACACGGGGCATGTCCTTGCCTCACTGACATTAGTGGAGTATGTCATAGACATCACTGAGAATAGGATTTCTGTTTAGTTTTATTACCATTTGCTACCTGCCCACCAACTCTTACTAATGTTACGTTAAATATTGTATAACTTTTTGCATAGTGGCAGTAAGGCTGCTTGGGAACTCACTCCTAGCTACATACTATCTTATATTAAAAAATTATGTTCTGCTACAGTCAAAGACAAAATTATAGGGCTTATTTGCTGATTTCACTGTCAAAGACAAGATTATAGGGCTTATTTGCTGATTTCACTAATTCAGTCCAGGGAGGTGCTGAAATCAGTGGATATTGGAATGAGACTCAGTACATCTCAGGAGGCTCTCACTATCTCATAGAATCAGGTTCCAATACTATGTCCCAATTTTGCCTGGAAAGACTCTCTCCTGGTTTTACTAGGTTGTTTGCTGTGGTTATTCACAATATGATGCACAGAATTCTAAAACCTGGCTAATGAGAGTACAGAAAATTTTTTGTGCTTCTGGCTACTTGCCATCTGCAGTCACCTGTGATGGCTGGCTGGTATCTCAGTGTTTGCAGGGTTTCCTATTATCTTCATTTAAATTCATAATGCAGCAGACAGCCAAGTGTTTTCAGCCATTTGTCCATTTTTCAGATTAAAAGATTTTTAAAGCCACCTTTCTGATCATCTAGTTTGACATTCCGCATAATCTGGATCATATATTCACCCAATGATTCCTGTATATAATCTAAAAACAGTAATGTAAATTGCCCAGCAATTATATTTCTTAGTAAGCCAGAATAGATAATATTTGCAACATCAAGAACAGGGATTATTTTAGTGTGAAGGATGTTAATTAAAGTTGCTTTAATTTCTGCACCTGAAGTGGGTGCACAAATGAAATGGATAGTCCACAAGTGAAAGGTGACTATTTTTAATCATACTTTATAATGGCCAGCAATTCTGGAATCAGTTTAAATGACATTAAGAGGTTTCATTACAGGTATCTTTTCATAGTAACTCATCATAGTCAGTCTGATGTACAAATAAGTGTTTACAAAGTCCTAGTGAAATCAATATACAGTCCCTGTATAGCAGAGTAGAGTAGAATACATTTAATAGCAAAAAGCATCATAAAAAGCAGTAATGTTTGGTGCTCCTTGCTGGAACTGAAACCCTGCTTACAAAATCGATTTTTATATAGCCATACTGAGTCATCTAGGGGAGAATGGTCTAAAGCTTTTTACACATACTCTGAGAAAATACTTTTTAGCCTTTTAAGACTAGTCTTAGCTGTGTGTGTGTGTATGAGAGCGAAAGAGATGATGTAGAACCTAACAGCCCGGTCCATATCATTCCTTTGTAACTACTGTGGTTGGTGTGTAGTCTTACTACATGTCATTCCTCTGTAACTACTGTGGTTGGTGTGTAGTCTTACTACTTCCCTTGTTTGATCAATGGCTTTCAGAAATCTGACGTCCAAGAAAATCATTAGCTTTTTTTTAAAACTATCAGTGAAATGCCCCCTTATATTTCATTTTACTGTCCTAACTTTTATTTATTTTCAGTTCCCTGATGTACTCACTAGCATAAGGAGGAATTGTGTTTGTTCAGCATGTCACTCAGAACTGGGCTCTGCTACTAAACATCTGTGCGGTGTGATTTCTTCACCTCTAGGGCAGCAACAAGGAGTTAGCTAAGTAATCCACAGCCAGGGAGGGAGACAAAATGTGACTTTAAAAGGAAAGATAGGGAGCAATGACAACATTTTCCATTTGATCTTAAAATAGGTCCGGTTACATGGAGCTACGGACAGCAGTTCTTACAGAATAGTGTCAGGTCAGTTCCTCAAACCAAAGGGAAAGCCTGAGTCACAGTCTGAGCTCTTCTCTAGCTTCTTTTGTGTTGAACAGCAGAGCCCAGCTGGATCACTGGTGTGGAATTTCTGAGCGGCTCATTTGCGCTGCCGCTGCTGGGGTTACCCGAGGCAGGAGCTGGGCTGGGCATTACTGATTCGATCTGTGGGGCACAGCTGCCAGGATCCCTGTACTTCAGCTGGGGTCACCACGGGATAGGAGGGGCTGTCACTGTCCACTCTTCCCTTTGCAGAGGGCTGCCCCGAGACCCGTCGGCGAGGGCACGCCCAATCTCCGGGCTGGTACGAGGGAGGGGTTTCCACCGACTTCTCCAGGGGTCTCAGGCGTGCAGAGGCGCGTCCAGGGCCCTGGCTGGCCTCACCCCGTGACCTCGGGCAGCCCTGCGCCGGGGAAATGGGCTCGCCCACCAGGAGCTGACTCGAGGAGCCTGGAGTGCCCGGCTCGTCTCTCGGGAAATGCCCCAGTGCCCAGCGCGTCCGGGACAGGCGGGCTCGCTGGCGGGCTTGTCACCCGATTGTAAAGCGCAACGCCCTCGCCTTTGTCCCGCGGGGCGCGCTCTCTATTTACCCTCCTCGCCTCTTACTTCCTTGTTCCCCGGCGGGCCAGGTGCTGTAAACCACCGTGCGGACACCGCACCTGGCTCGCCGCGGATGTAAGAGGAAGAGGAGGAGATGCGGCTGCCTGCCCCGTCCCTGTGCCAACAACCCCCATGGCACCCACACGCCGGAGCTCCAAGCCCGGGGGTTGGCACCCGCGCTTCTGTCTTGGGGGCAGCAGCCGCACTTTCCCTTGCTCTGCTGTCTGATGCCCTGGGTGCCAGCCAGATGCCAGGCGCCTGCGTCACTCCCCAAGGGAACTGCACCCGGTTCCCCTTCTTCTCGGATTTCAAGGGCCAGAACAAGGTGGCCCTGAGCGCCCTGGAGTCCGCCGTGCTCGCCTTCATCTTCCTGGTGTCCCTGCTGGGCAATGCCTGCGCCATCTCGTTGCTGGCCAGGAAGAAGAGGCTGCGCACCGCCAACTGCCTGGTGCTCAACCTCTTCTGCGCTGACCTGCTCTTCATCAGCGCCATCCCCGTGGTCCTCGTGGTGCGCTGGACCGAGTCCTGGGTACTGGGGGACTTCGTCTGCCACATGCTCTTCTACGTGATGAGCCTCAGCGGCAGCGTCACCATTCTCTCCCTGGCGGCCGTCAGCCTGGAGCGCCTGTTCTGCATCGTGCGGCTGCGGCACACGGCCCGCTGCAGCTGCAGGCTGCTGGCCGGGATCCTGCTGCTCATCTGGGGCCTCTCCGCCCTCGCCACCCTCCCGCTCTGCCTCTTCTTCAGCGTGGAGCCGCTGCTGGTGCGCGGTGAGGTAAGGCGCGGCGGGGCGAGCTCTGCCCTGCCTGGGCATGGAGGCAGCGGGTCAGCCCCGCGCCGTGTACAACGAGCTGACCCGCTCGGCGGCTTCCCAGCCACCCAGGACCCCTGGAAAGGGGAGGCTGGGCTGGAAGTCTCTAGCGCGGGAAAAGCCTTCAGCCAATAGCAGCAGCTGTTCGCTCTGGCTGGGCTGAGCCTCCGTCCACGTTCTCAACCGCGGCGCGAAGCGAGCCCCCGTAGCCTGCCTCGCCGAGCGACTCCTGGGTCCTGGTCCACGCTTCGGGGCCGGCTGGCGATTGCCAAGAAGGGCTGGGCTGGGTTCCATCGGGTGCTGCTGGGCACAGCCCTGGGGTTACCACGCGGAGAGTGATGACTAGCTCCGCAGGCGGGAAAAGGTTAAGCGTTATACGGGGGTCATTTTTTAACAAAGCCTTCAAAGGTTGGCAGTGCCTTCTTGCCTCCCCCTCTTTTGTTCTTGGCCCAGCTGGGGCTGAGCGCCACTGACCGGAACTGTAAACCGTGTGTATAATGGAAACCACTTCAAGCCTGCACCCCGAGTGCCCCCACCTATGGGCACCCTTAGTGCCCCCACCTATGGGTATTATTGTTCAGCTTAACCCTGGTATTTAAGTTGCCTTTAGCCATTTGATTCAGGCTACATCTAGACTGCAGGCTTCTTTCGGAAAAAGCTTTTCTGCAAGAGAGGCCGTGTCCAGACTCAGGGGGTTTTTCGGGAAAAGTAGCCTTTTCCCGAAAAAACTTCCCCTGCGTCCAGACTCAAGCCGCGTTCTTTCGAAATTATTTCGAAAGAACGCAGATTTTCTTTCGATGGCGGTAAACCTCAATTTACGAGGAAGAACGCCTTCTTTCGAAAGTTCCTCTTTCGAAAGAAGGCGTTCTTCAATGTAAAGAGGCCGTCTTCGAAAGAGAGCATCCAGACTCGCTGGGTGCTCTCTTTCGAAAAAGCGGATTTCTCTTTCGAAAGACCCGCCTGCAGTCTAGACTCTTTCGAAAGATGCTTTCGAAAGAGCCTCTTTCGAAAGAAGCCTGCAGTCTAGACATAGCCAGAGTGTCTACAGAGCAAAAGCAGAATGAAAAAGCAATGCGCTTAATCTCACATCTAAATTCTGATTGCTGTGGATGGAATGGCCACCAGGGCACCTGTGCTTTTTCCTGGAGGCTTCTTCTTTTGAAAAAAAACCCTCTTCCCCATCCACACACGCCTTTTTCTGAAAGAGCTATTTTGGAAGAAGGTTTCTTCCTCACAGAAAGAGGTTTAAGGTTGTTGGGAAAACCCCTGCATTCTTTTGACTTTCTGTCAAAAGAACGTAATTGCAGTGTGGACGTAAATGTTGTTTTTCTGGAAAATGGCCATTTTCCAGAGAAACTCTGCAGTGTTGACATATCCCCAGAATAGGAATGAACTTCTTTTAATGAAGGACTTGATCCTGATCCGCTAAAGTCAATGAATAGTAAAAATCCCATTTATTTCAGACCAGAACTGAGGTCTTCAGTAGACCAGTCTCAAATTCATGCTCATTTTTTGCCCACATTAAAGAATTTATCACCAGTTACTTTGTTCTGCCTTGCTTTTGTCATTGTGCCATGTCTTATTACTTGTATAAATATGGCTGTTTGTGTTCAAGATTAAAGCTAGAAAAGCCCCTATTCCCGATACAGGCAGTCCCCGGGTTACATACAAGATAGGGACTGTAGGTTTGTTCTTAAGTTGAATTTGTATGCAAGTCAGAACTGGTACATATTGTAGGGGAAACTCTAGCCAAACCTTTCTCCAGAGCTCAGTTTTATTCTCCCACACCTCACTTCTCTCAGTCCTTTATTCTCAAGCTGAGGTGTCTGCTGAGAAAAGCTGCTCCGTGTCTCCCTAGTCTGCTGGGGGGGGGGGGGGCGCTAGCTTCGCGTCTCCCTGGTCTGCTGGGGGGAAGCAGCTAGTGCGGGGTTGCCTCACCCCGTTTGTAAGTAGGGATCCGATGTAAGTCGGATCCATGTAACCCGGGGACTGCCTGTACTTCTCTTTTCTGAATAATCAGAGACTCATAGAATACGAGAACTGGGAGAGACCTTGAAATGACATCAAGTCCAGTCCCCTGCCCTCACAACAGAACTAAGTACCATCTAGATCATCCCTGTAAGGATCTATTTAACCAGTTCTTAAATATTTCCTGTGATGGAGATTCTGCTGCCTGTGCATATAGAGTAGTGCCTTGCATTAATTCATGTAGAGCTTTTCCTGGAACATGCAGTAACTTTTTTCTTTTCAGTATGCAATAATCCCAAATGCATTCAAAAACAAAACAATATGATTACATTGAAAATACAATAAAAATGATTTAATCAGTACTTCCAGGTTTTTAATTGTTTTTTTCATTTTGTTTATTTAGAAGTTAAGAATTTACATTTAAAATTGTCCTTAGCTTTTGCCATGCTATTTAATTATTGAAACAATTCCATTTTTGCATACCAAATCTTGTAAGCCACACCTGTTGTCATGTTTTAAAAAACATTCCACACTGAATCAACTTTTGTTTTCATTAGTAACAATTTCCATAGATCCTGTTTATGTAGCAGCTAGTTTTACAGTAATGAGCACCAAGTCAGATGAAATTAAACATTGATGTATGGTTTGCAGAGAACTGTATACTGAAAGTTAATATCTAAAACATAATTTTAATTGTTTTCTTTTGTTATTTATAAACAGGAAGTTCAAATTTGCACCTTGGTTTGGCCCAGCATTGCAGGAGAAATCTCTTGGGACGTAACATTCACCTTTGTGGTCTTTGTAATACCAGGATTAGCCATTGTGATCAGTTATACAAAAATTTTACAGGTATTTTTTCTTATAGTTTTATTACTAAACCATTAGAACCAAGCAGTAATTCAAATACCAACTAAAAGTATGACATCTGGCTGACTAGTAATATAGTGATGCTAAACAGTATAGATTGTATTTGCTCAAATATAGAAGAGTACATAATATAAGGAATAAGGTACTTCCAACTATACATAAGTTTCAACTAAGAGTTTTATTGCCATTATAAACAATAGTAAAAGCTTGAACAATATGTTATCAGAAACCCAAAATACGATATTAGTCTTAGTTCATGTACACAATATATGATCATATATGGATCATAATTAAGGGCCTTTAAAAACTTTCTAGAGATTCTAACAAACATCTAAAAAAAAAAAAAAGCACTGTTGATCAGATCTTGCATTGTACCCCAAAATGCCAAATGGATTTAATGTGAGATGTAGGACATGTCTATACTATGAAGAAGATTGACCCTCCAGAGGTTGATCTTCTACTGTTCGATTTAGTGGGTCTAATGTACACCCCCAAATCGAATGCTGAGGGCAAATCTGCAGGCATCCAGTACTCCTCGATCTGCGAGGAATAAGGGAAGCTGACAGGACCATATGCTCCTGTTGGCTTCCCATAGTGTAGGCGCTGCAGTGGCTCAGCTTATGGTAAACCGAATCCAGCTATGCATTATGCATAGCTGGATGGCATACCTTAAGCCAACCTGCCCAGTCTAGTGTAGACCAGGCCCAAGGGAGAACAACCCTGAGACATACAGTCCTTAAAACTCTTTTTCCCCCCACTCCCTTGAATCTACTTTTGTCCTGCTTTAATTATGTATCATAATTAGGGCTTCTAATTTTAAGTTTTAACCAATATATACCAACATCTGCAATACAAAAAATTGAAATCTGTGTGTTATCTAATAAACACCACAAATGGTTGATTGTGGAGTGTGATTTCTCAAGCACGCTGGAAGTTCACTGTCTAGTGAGGTTTAGTATAGTGCTATTTCAAAGAGTATTACATTATAGGATTACAAAGCAAGTACTCTTTATTGTGTATACAAAGAGAAAGCTCCCAAAACTCTTGATTTTTGGAAATCTACATAAAACTAAAAAATTGCTAAGCCCCCAAAATTAAATTAATAAGCCCCCTTAAAACAGAAGCCATAGTTGTTATTCTCTCCCAACCTCCAGGATGTTTAATATGTGTCAGCAAAGCAAAAGCCATATTTCCTCCCTACATACTCCCCTCCCCCCCAAAAAAGGAGGGACAGGAAAAACAACATTTTATTCTACTTTTTCTCTCTGAAAGGGAGGCGTTATCTAATGGTTTAAACATGGGCCTGGAAGCCCAAAACTGTGGAGATTTAATCTGTATTCTAGTACTAACTTACTCTGTGACTTTAGGGCCCTAATCCTTCATGGTACTCAACTAGACCAGCACGTTGTAGAATTGGGCAATTAAAACCAGATTGTGGTCTTCAGCCACAGACCCTGTTGGGGGCACCCTTGTGTATATCTTCCAGAGTGCAAAGACAGCATAGCTGCTATGATATCCTTGGAAAGCATGGGGCACACCCTGTTCTGCTTCACAACACCCTGCCCTGCTTCACAATCCTCCCAATGCATGTCAAAAACTTCACCCTTCTCCGGGGCAGCCCCCACTCTTACTTCCTCCTCAGAATTCCTTCTTCTCTTACCAGTCTGTGAGTTTCCTCATATCAAAGGCTCTTTTCATCACGGCCACTCCTGGGCAGTTTCTCAATTTCCTTGATACTGTGACCCTGCTCCAGGCTTGTCCTAGTCCTTGAACTCTCTTTCTTCTGAAGAAAGGTTTCTCCTTAAATTTGGCACTCCTTCCCAGCTTCCCTTGAAGCAACAGCCTATAATTTCCAGGGTCTGTCAGGGGAGGACATGTGACAGAATTCCATTGTTCAGTTCTTAATTTGGTCCTGGTCATGCTGGACCCATAGTCTCCCTGTAAAGATCAGTGCACACCCTGTTACAAGGATCCAAAGATATAAAATCATGTTTTTTTCTAGACTTCAGCCAGAAGAGAGGAGTGCACAAATTAACCCCAGTCCTGGATGGACTGTCTAGGTTACAGGCCAACATGCTATTCTACAGCAGACAAAGTTCTTTGCCAGGGCAGATCTCACCCATTGCAGATTCCCAACTCATTCTCCTTCTCGAGCCACTCTCCCAGTGAGCAGAGACACTGGCCATGCTGGTCCTTCCCATTCATTAGTGCTTGGAGCACTAGAACAAAGCTAATTTAATACCTGTGGCTCTTAGGTTGACATAAGGCAAACCTACATGCTGTCTTGGTTGGAGTAGGTGTTGCTAATGCATTGCTTTTGAGCTGTTTCAGTTTAGGATCCTTAAGTACCCCACTTTCAGCTCTGTTGCCAGATGGAGGTCACATCTGGGTTCTGTGCAATAGATCATGGAGTATGACAAGTTGTGTCACATCAGTTAGAATGTGATAGCATGCCAAGTGACATATTTTTTTAAAAGGAGGCAAGTACTGGCAGTGGACAGAAGAGAGAACACCATTTGGCAGCGGCAAGCATCCTTCCCTGCCAGAGTGCAGTTTTAATTGACTAGGCCCTCCTGAATGCACCCAAACCTCACGAAGCAATCCACCCCAACCCATCAACAAGCCAAACTGATAAGAAATATCATCATCATCATCGCCATTGGAGTTCCCAGCTCTTACTCCATGAAGCAGGAACCTGTCTCCCCAACAAGTGAAGGCCATGCAGGACAATTACTCCAGTCCATGACAGTAGTTGCATATACAGACGTACAACAGATACAGTCCTGCTGGCTGAGGGGGAAAGAGGCAGATTAAGGACAAGGGAGTAATAGAGCATAAATGGCTGGGCACTCATTTCAAGGCATTCTCCTTCACCAGCAGTTCCACCACTTGCCAGCATGAGAGAGGGTCTTTGGTTTTGACTTTCCACATGAGAGTGATTCTTCCCCTGAATAATGGATCAAGACACTGAAGCCTCCTAAGAGGCTATGTCTAGACTATGGGGAAGATTCGAAAGAGGATATGCAAACTCCACTGGAATTTGCATCTCTTCTTCTGATCTCCGCTTTCGAAAGTGAAAGTAGTTTAGATGCAGCTTTTTTGGTGAACGCCCCTCTTTGTCAAAAAGCCGCATAAACCTCATTTTTTGAGGAAAAGTGGCTTTTCAACAAAGGGGAGAGGGTTTGCCAAAAAAGCCATGTCTAAACTACTTCCACTTTCGAAAGCTCCGCTTTTGAAAGTGAGATCAAAAGAAGCTATGCAAATTCCTATGGAATTTGCATATCCTCTTTTGAATCTTCCCTGTAGTCTAGACGAGCCCAGAACCCTCTAAAAAGGTATCTAAAAGGGTGCTACCAGGAAAAGGGAGAAAAATTGTTCTCCTTGGCCTCTGATGATAGGACAGGAAGCAATAGGCTTATATTGCAGCAAGAGAGGTTTCGGTTGGACATTAGGAAAAACTTCCTATCAGGGTAGTTAAACGTTGGAGTAAGTTGCCTAGGGAAATTATGGAATCTCCATCACTGGAGTTATTTAAGAGTAGGTTGGATAGACATCTATCAGGGATTCCCTAGACCAGGGGTAGGCAAAAGGGCCTACGCAGGCTTGATGTAGCCGGCCAAATGGACTGATCCGGCCTGCAGAGGTCCTGCTGCTCCTCCACGCCAGGCCAATCAGGGCCTAGGGATGGAGGCACGTGTGGCACTTAGAGTTAATTCTAGCAGTTGACTAAGTGCCATGCTCTACAGGGTGGGGAGTGAGAGACTTCACGCTCCCCCCTTTCCCTGACCAATCAGGGCTTGGCAGTGGGGGGAAGCACGCAAAGTCTCGTCCTGCCCTGCCCCTGCCCTGCAAGGAGCACGCAGTTCTTCTAAGCACTGTGTGCTCCTTGCAGGATGGGGGCAGGGTAGGAGGAGACTTTGCATGCTCTCATTGCCCCCAAGCCCTGATTGGCCTGGGGGTGGGGGAAGCGTGCAAAGTCTCCTCCTGCCCTCCAAGGGGCCCAGCACTTAGAGTCAACCACCAGCTGCTGCTCAGCTGGCAAGGGATTCTAAGCACAGTGCCCCCTGGCAGGGCAGGGGCAGACTTTGTGTGCTCCCCCCGTCCCCAGGCACTGCTTGATGTGGGGATGGGAGGGGGGAGTGTGCAAAATCTCCTCCCACAACCAGGGGCATGGGTGCTTAGAGGTCTGTGGGCAGGGAAGCACGGAAATGTCCTGGCCCTGTGTCTTCCGCCTGAGGCCCCACCCCTTCCAGGCAGACTGGAGCCACTTAAAAATTTCTGAAGTGAGCCCTGGTCAAAAATGATTGCCCACCCCTCATGTAGATAGTGCTTGGTCCTGCCATGAGGGCAGGGGACTGGACTTGATGATCGCTGAAGGTCTCTTCCAGTTCTATGATTCTCACTGCCCCCAGAAACTAACAGGAGATGAGGGAACTCTGTATCTCTCAAGGGCACTTGGAAATTAAGCAGACCAAACCCTTGGTGTCTGTGTCACAGGCTGCAGTTCAGAAAGTCATAGGTACATTTGTTCTGAACTTTGCCCCACGTTCATAACATGGATCTGTAGGTGGCCAAGACCTGTGTGGTAACTCCCTGTGTGATTTTGGACAAGTCTTTTAACCACATTCTACCATACGCCTCCAACATTAAAGTAGGTTCTATACTTTTCCACACTTCTAGTGTGTTTTGAGATTCTGTAATGAAATGAATGACATGAATGCAAAAGGCTGATTTTCCTGTGCTTTAGGGCTGCTTTGTAAATTCTCCACTAAGCCCTGGATGAGCAAAGCCAGTCTTATGCTCCTTCAGCACCACCCTTTTCTGTGGTCAGTGCAAGGTACATCACCACAGCTCTCTCTTGCACCAGCATATTGTACCATGACAAAGCAGCACCACAACTGAGGGAGCACTAAATTGGATTAAATGAGCATTCTTTGGTCAGAGCTGATGATAAGGAACCAAAATATTTATTCATAATTAGA